TTACATTGTTTCAGGAACATCGCATCACAATCCAACGACCTGTACGCAGTCACACTGTTCATACCGCAAGGTCAAGGCGCTTTCTTACTTTTTATTACATTTTGCAAAGCCTATTTTACATCCTGGTAAATGAGCTGCGTAAAGTAGAGTTTTTTCTGTGTGCCTTGCATGAAAAGAAGTGTGATCTTTTATATTCTGTGATGTTCATGAACAATTGAGCATGATGCGATGTTCATGAACAATTGAGCATGATGCGATGTTCATGAACAGTTATAGATTCCACTCTCCCGGATATCATCAACATTGACAGGAAAATATCACCTTTCTTAAAAATTATACAGTGTAGGACGGAGTGCAAAGAGAAATATTTACCAAAGGAAGTAGTTATTATAGCTCATTGGAAATATGTTTTCTCTTCTTTGACAGAAGGGTAATTTTATGACAATATGAGCTCCCATAGCTGTATACTGCCAATGGATCAGAGCAATTTTTCCAATTTATTGACGGAGCTATTGACACGGCATTCATTTTCTCATTACTTATAATCCCAAAATGATATACTATAGGCTTTATTTTGACATTATTGGGTAAGGGGAGAAGAGGAGAAAGGACCTGATTCAAACTAATTAGTGCTAACTGAGGGTTAATAAGGGTTTTTTATTGGATAGGGAATCGTTAAGATTAGGGCTGTCCCTATATGGAGTCAGCCTGAGACGCTTGCCTCAGGTGGCATCTCAATGGGTCACATGAGGGGGCAGCAGATGTGCAAAGAGCTCTTAGTAACCTGTGACACTCTGTCCGGCATCCCCCCCAGCTTAATGATGTCACTGGTTGCCAGGTGCTGAATGGGACCCTTTGGCTGCTGTGCTGCCCAGCTCACTGGCATCACTAGTTTCTAGGTCCTGAGTCGGAATCTCTGGCTGGCATCCCGCCCAGCTCACTGATGTCATTGGTTGTCAAGAGCTAAGCGGGATGCCATGGCTGGTGTCTCACCCACCCCCTGGCAACCAGGCATGGCAGTGAGCTGGGCAGGATGCCAGGCACCACAAGCAGCCCCCACCTAGAATGTCCACCAGGAGCAACTAACCATGCCCCCTCCTGACCTCAGTTGGCGAGATGTCTAGGGACACCTCTGGTTAAGACCCCTGTAGGTTTTTTTTTTCTTGCTGTCAGGAGAGATTTCATTTCGCTTCCTGTCCCACAGTGACAGCAGAAATTAAGAGGAGATCTCTCCAAAGCAAGCGGATATCCCTTCTAAAACAGTTGTCACCAGATCATGTGTACCCATGTGAACATAACAAGGCAAGCTTTGGATCTCCACTGAAAGCTGAAATCCAGGTAAAAAGTATTAGGTATGCTTACATGGTATAATTAGTGGAAACATCGGCTTCTGCTGAACAAAGACTGCAAACAGTGGTTGCATACTTCATTTATAAAAATATGTTATAGCTCTATTGATAGATTCAATTTTGTTGAATTGTTTAAAGCTCAACTCCAGGTGTAAAGTAGTATGCATACTTTACGCCCAATGTAAGTATGTCTATGATATACCTGGTCAGCACACAGGGATTTTGTAAAGCATTGCAGTAGTTGTAGTTGGAGCTAGTACAGTGCTTTACAGCGATCTTCGGGGTATGTATGGTGCTAAGCTGGGCAGCTTCCCCGCTGCTCTGAAAACACAGGGTGTCACTCACTCGGCACAGTGGCTGTTCAGAGAACGGCTAGTATTTTTTTTATCAATGATGGCTACTACAGTGCTTTACAGCATCCCCATGGACCCACCAGCTATATCATGAACATGCTACCATTGGGACCAGCTGGACCAATGTAAGTATGCATAATACTTTACACCTGAAGTTCAGCTTTAAGCAATACAACAAAATATAATGTAACAATAAAGTTATAAATAGAGTTATAAATAGTTATAAATAGAGTTATAAAATTTTTATGAATGAAGTATGCAACCACTTGTTGCGGGCTTTGTTCAAGCAGAAGCCAATGTTTCCACTGATTAAACCTGGCAGAGTAAGTGCAGGTGGGGAAGGGAGGGGGTTGTGGGAAGTAGGGTATTAAAGTGGTGACATTAATTCATTAATTTCTCTGAGTCCATATTGTTTTAACCATGTTCTGCTCTGTTTTCTTTTTTCTAGTGCATTCCCTGTGGTCCAAGAAACAAAGGCCACTGCTTCGGGCCTAGTATCTGTTGTGGTGAGGAGCTGGGCTGTTACTTTGGTACCTCAGAGACCCTTAGATGCCAGGAGGAAAATTATCTGCCCTCACCCTGTGAGTCTGGGAGGAAACCGTGCGGGAACAATGGCGGCAACTGTGCGGCCTCTGGCATCTGCTGTAACCACGGTGAGAGCCTGCATTGACTGTGTAGACATAAATACCGACTTGTATGCCACTCAAGCGAGTGATTTTCCTAGCCTTTTTGCCTTTTGGTGCAAAATCAGTGGGGATGGGGGGTGCTGGTGGAGATGCGTAAGAGCTCTACATCTCCCCGCCCAGCTCTTAGCAACCTGGAAAGCTCTGGCGGGTGTCCCACTGAGCTCCTGGCAACCAGTGAAGTCATTGGTTGCTAGGAGCTTGGCAGCATGCCAGCAAGAGTGTCCCCAGCTGCTAAGAGCTGGGTGGGGAGGTATGTATGGTCCTTACGACCTGGGATGCTCTAGCCAGAAAGGGGGCAGCAGGCACACTGCAAACATTGTGCAACAGAGTGGCCATGCCTCTCTGCTTGCCATCCCCTATAAACCCAAAGAGATGCTGCCTAAGGCAACAGTTTCAGGCTGCCTCATTATAGGGTGGGCCTTGTGCACCTACCCTTTTCACTCACTTACTGAAATGGTTTTGACCAGAGTGAGTCAAGGCCGTACTCAAGTAGGTCAAAACCATTTCAGTAAGTGAGTGAAAAGGGCAGGTTCTCAAGGCTCGCCGGGAAACTTGGCTCACTAGCAGGGCTGCTGGCAAAGTAGTTGATGTTCTAAGACAATGTTTCCAAACCCATTCCTAAAAATACTCATCAAACAAGGTGCATGTGGTGTCTCTGGCATGTTAGTGTGTTGTCATGTGTTGCACTGCAAGGTGCCTTGGGCAACACAATAAGGTGAATGGGCCCTTAGGCTTTTCTTTATCACTTATTGTTGCAAAGTGAATCAGGTAAGAAATTATATACATGTTCCCTTATAAAGAACACCGTACATCCTCAGAAACCTAAACCCGCAGTTGATCCCGAGAAAGGAACAAGAACCCATCTAGGGTTTGACTCAATTTTCTATAACAAGGAAACAATCATTTCCTGGTCCCCAAAGGCAGTTGGATAATCCCTGGATCAACAATTGGAAATGTTATTTCTTATGAATAGTAATACCTCTTCATATTTTGTGCATTTGGAAACACACCCAGTCCTTCTTGAAGACATCTAGGAGGTGGTTTAGAACGAGTTCCTCTGCAAGACTTTTTCACATTTTTCAACTCTTACATTAAGAACCCTTTTCCATATGTGCAAGTTAAACCTTGCCTCCCCTGGTGCACAGAGTGCTCTGGTGTCTTTCAAAATGACAATAAAGCTGAACTCTGGCCTTCCCTTCAATCTTGCAGAGTTGTTCCGGCTCCTCTTCTGGATCAAAACTGCTTACTCTGCTTCTCAAAATGTGCATTAGAAGCAGCAGCAAATCACATAGAGCCCACCTCATTTCCTGGCTGGAGGACATCCAGCATCATTAAGCTGTTTCCTCCCACAGTGAAGACACAGTAGGCAGGTTAAGGAGGCTCTTAGCTACCACAATGGAAGGGACTACTTTGACTAATCAAAGCCCACAATAGTTACAACATAAATAAACTGTCAGTGACATATTGCTCTAAGCATCTAACTCCAACACTGATTAGTGGGCTATAGACTAAACACATACTTTGTTTCTCCTGCAGAGAGCTGTACAGTGGACCCGGCCTGTGAACAGGACTCAGTATTTTCCTAGTTCTCCATACGAATCTCGTGACTCTGCAAACCAACCAAGAACATCTCAGCAAGACGGCACTAAGGCATCGAGCAGGATATAAACAGCCAGTGTATAGGTGTACTGTATGATAAATAAAGTATCTTAAAACAATATACACAAGTCTACTCTCTAATTATTTGTAAATTGTTTAGTCAGAGTTACATAAAGGGCATCCCTGGTCAAAAACTACAAATCACTCTGTATTTCTACATATATTGCATTTCCATAAATACTTTCCCCCTCCTAATGACCAGATTCATCTAAAAGTTTGTAAACTTTATGGAAGATGCCCATAGCATGGACTTCCTCAATGCACTGACACAACTCACTTAGCCCTGGGGATATGCACAACTCACAGAGCCTGCCTTCTGATCTACATCTCAATGTCTGAACAATGTAACATTATCATTGCTTGCTGGAAGCAATGCATTATGGGATATGTAGTCTTAAGAAATCCAGATTGCATCACATGAAGCAGCAGGGAAAGAGACGCAAAGCAGACTGGGAATCCAGGAAATTGATGGAAATGATGGGCAGACGGAAAGCAGCACTCACTATATAAAAGGGATTTTGTTTCTGTGAGATTGAATTATCTGAAACATCTCTAGCATGTATTCCTATTGCAATGCTGATGTTATAACAGGAGGGGATATGTTTGGACTTTACAACTCCTTGAAAGGGATTTCCTAAAGAAACACTGATTTTTCTGATCTACTTTGGGATTTCTCAGTCAGCAAAAGAAAGGAACAATGTGTTGCTGCCATAAATCCTGAAAGGAACTTCCATTTAGCTCCTGCACAGTGGTGGCATAGATAAGAACTGTCATTATTTTTTGCTGGTTACAGGTCTGTGATCTCTTTCAGACCTGCAATAACTGGGAAGTGACATTTTTGGCTTTAAATCAGTGTTTTTGCAATTTGCTTATGTACTACTTAATAAAGGTTAGGCAGTGTAGCTTTTTGGTTTGGGTCTCCTATTCTCATGTTTAACTTGGGTGTAGTTATTACCAGAACCTATTACCATTTTCTTCAGACAAATCCATTCTGCTTTTAAAGAGAAATTTCAGGAAGCAAATTCAATTAAAATCTGTTAATTCTCTCTAGAAAAGATTGCAACAGTGAAAATTAAATTAGTTAGCCTTATAGAGGATCCGTGGTACCAAAGCAAAAAGCAAACATGTGCATGATTAAGTTGAAAACAGATTTGTCGGACCAGCTATTCGCACACCAACTGCCTCCTAGTACATGTGTGTGTGTCTATTCTTCACAGCCAGGCAGCAGAATGCCACGTATGTTCTGCATACTTGCAAAAACACCACCCAGCATACAGGGGATTACTTCCACTTTAAGTACAAACACCTCACTGCCCAGTATCCATGTCACCAGTGAGATCTACCTCCAGTATATCTACCTCACTCCCCAGTATCCATGTCATCAGTGAGATCTACCTCCAGTACCCCAGTATCCATGTCACCAGTGAGATCTACCTCCAGTATATCTACCTCACTCCCCAGTATCCACGTCACCAGTGAGATCTGCCTCCAGTATAACCACCTCACTCCCCAGTATCCATGTCACCAGTGAGATCTTCCTCCAGTACACCCACCTCACTCCCCAGTATCCATGTCACCAGTGAGATCTTCCTCCAGTACACCGACCTCGCTCCCCAGTATCCATGTCACCAGTGAGATCTACCTCAAGTACACACACCTCACTCCCCAGTATCCATCTCACCAGTGAGATCTACCTCCAGTACATCCACCTCACTCACCAGTAACCATGTCACCAGTGAGATCTACCTCCAGTACACACACCTCACTCCCCAGTATCCATGTCACCAGTGAGATCTTCCCCCAGTACACCGACCTCGCTCCCCAGTATCCATGTCACCAGTGAGATCTACCTCAAGTACACACACCTCACTCCCCAGTATCCATCTCACCAGTGAGATCTACCTCCAGTACTACCACCTCACTCCTCAGTATCCATGTCACCAGTGAGATCTTCCTCCAGTACACACACCTCACTCCCCAGTATCCATCTCACCAGTGAGATCTACCTCCAGTACATCCACCTCACTCACCAGTAACCATGTCACCAGTGAGATCTACCTCCAGTACTACCACCTCACTCCTCAGTATCCATGTCACCAGTGAGATCTTCCTCCAGTACACACACCTCACTCCCCAGTATCCATGTCACCAGTGAGATCTACCTTCAGTACACACACCTCATTCCCCAGTATCCATGTCACCAGTGAGATCTTCCTCCAGTACACCGACCTCGCTCCCCAGTATCCATGTCACCAGTGAGATCTACCTTCAGTACACACACCTCATTCCCCAGTATCCATGTCACCAGTGAGATCTTCCTCCAGTACACACACCTCACTCCCCAGTATCCATGTCTCTAAACATATCTTCCCTCCAGCACATAATGACCCTTGACTCTTGATGACAACTTTCCAGTAAATTTTCTGCAGCCTATTTACCGTCCAGTCCCCAGAGAATGTGCATTAACCACTCAATGACCAGTCTCCACTGTATGTGTATTAACTCCTTAGTGTGCAACATCCATTGTATGTGCATTATCTCCTTAGTGATCATTGTCCAGTGTACCTGCAATACAGTATATCTAAATCCACAACCTTTTGGGTAGGTTAAAACTGCTATAATTTATCTTTTATTAGGGAGATTTCCCTTCGCTTCCTGTTCTATATAGTCAACAAGATGAGAGGTTATCTTTCCAGTATGAGTGATATCCCTTGCACAGGAACAGGAAGTATCCCCATTTGAAGATTTGACAGGCGGTCTAACCCGTAATCCAAATAAAAAAAAATTAAAATAAAATATGTTTCTCTTTAGATATACCTTAAATGACTAGTGGCCTGTCTCCATTGTATGTGCAGTAACCCCTCTGTAACCATTCTTCAGTGGATGTGCATTAACACTCTAATTATATTCACATTTTGTACAGTAATTTTTAGTTTCTTTTGTCCCCCCTCCCATAACTGTGCTATCATTTTGTCTACGCAGCACACTGCATACCTATGTGTCTATATAAATTAACATAATATGATGTAAGGGCTTATGCACATGGGCATAATTACAAGCGTAAGGGTGCACAATGTAAAATGTGCCTGTATTTGTGGTGCTAAGGAGCCTCAGCTGCTGCGTTTTTGTGCCCATAGGAATGTATTCACAAAATACCCTTTATGGGAGTATGCACGTGTAAATGCACATGTAAACACTTGTGTATGGTCGTATATTTACATAGCACAGCAAGGTAATATCTTGGTTTTCAAGGGCATTTGGTGCACATAATGTGGATTTATATTATTTGTACATGTTGAGAAATGTATTTAAATGAAAGTGTATGTGCCTGGCGTTCAGCTTTATGTGTCCAAGCACCGTATGTCCTAAGAGCAAAGAGGAGGGTGACAGCTGTCCATACATTCACCAACACGCTGCAACTCTTCCTCATTGTCCCAACTGAGCAAAACCTACCTCCTGTTGGAAATACAACATCATATACTGATATACTGATATGTACTTTGTCTTTTGGGTTGTAGATGGCGGTGTGGTGCAGTGTTGGTCTGCATGCACATCTATGATACACAGGAAGTTGTTTTTTTCTCTGTGCTTTCTTCACAATGCTGTATTCTGATGTAATGTCCTTCTAAGAAGGTAAAACTTAATTCAGCATTCCTTAAGATCTCAGTACTTCATATAAACACATAGCCAACACTCCACCCTCTTTACTCCCCTTACCCCACATGCGCTATTTGCTGCTTACAGCCCAGAACCACTCTACCTTGCATGACTTCCAATCCATACATCTGTCAACACTGGTCTGACATGACCTCAGCTCATCCTACAATTTGTGTCTCAGCAGTCGGTCAGCATGGGATGTCAAACATACAGGAGGGTCTACAGAGCTGTATGCTAATTACAGTTATGAATGATGTAAGGGCACAGCAAGCATGTAAATATTTATTTATTTATTATAGGTATTTATATAATGCCGAAAATGTACACAGCACTTTACCTAAAGATGTGAAAGTCTCATCAAAATGACTTTGAGTAAACTATAAAATAATATTGTTTAACAGCTGAAAGCAGAGCCTGGCCATGGCTGGACTCCCCATCATCAAGCCTGCAAAGCTCAATGCCTTCCTAACCAATGCCCAGTTTTTCAGTTTTCTGTGTGATGTGTTATTGATTTGTCTCCATCTAGTGGCCAAAATATAATTTGCAACAGCGAAATCAACTGACGTTGTAATGCTCGAGAAGGTTTATGCAGTTAACAAAGTAAAGGGAGTCGTTTTCTAAACTGAACAAAAATAACTTTCAGTTATCACTCAACATAATA